GACGCCGCGTAATATTAACACTCACAAGTAATGGGCTACACCCTAGTTGACGTACCGCAACATTCTTTCTGTTGACAGTCTGTACACGCAAATGCAGGATGTCTTCATCGGTGACAGTGTGAGTACTGAGGGGACCACGATACAGTACCCGGAAGCGAGTCGGCTGATTTGCGGTAGATCCTTCCAGAACGTACGTAAACTCTCGCTCCCTGCGATTAACTATTTTAAACAACCATGAAAAATACTTTGGTACATGCTTCGCCAAATGGCATCAAATTTTTATTCTAGCTTTAGGTTTATTCCCGAAAACTATCGATAAATGCTCGACGTTCTGCACGCACACATAAATGCTTTTTAGGAGTCAACCTTGTATAGCACTGCGCATTAAACGACTCCCATGAGCAGAGTTCCTGCCAAATCCGAGATTCAACTTCCTCCCATACGCCTACCGCGCGATATGAAACTCAAGGCAAAGTTAGCCAGAACACTTTTTTCCTGGAGATTTTCTTCGTAGCCATTACAGTTTCCGTCCGCGCATCAGAATAGCTCCAAAGCTGCTCACTTTGCACCGGGGCATTTCCATGAGACGTCGAACTTATTACGTCCCCGAGCGACGGCAAGAGGCTTCGTAGGCTCTAGCACTCTGTCTGGCGTTCCCCGTCCGGTCATTCTAACATAAGTCCAGTCAGAACGTGGTGAATCACCTTCAGCATTGTGGGCGATAACACGGAAGCGATACTCGGAACCGCTAAATGTACCAGCATGAATGGCAAGGTGCGCTAGAAATGTACAGTAAACTCACGCTTTCAAATCTACGATCTGTGCGTTTGCACCAGCAATGCGATCTTTGACTATAGTGATTGCATTCGGTCCAGCAGCAACATCATGCATTTCAACCTGGAGAGTCACATGTAAAGCGTCAAATGACGGCTTTTACTACTACTGCACTACTACCCTACTGTCTAAATTGTCGTACCGTATAAGTGCACTCAGGATTGTGACTCCAGGCCAACTTAACGCAACGTGCGTTTACAGAAACAACATTCGGTGGTGGTGGAGCTGGAGGTGGACAGTCGCTACGAGTTGTCACCACGATAGGTGCTGCTTCAGAACTTTCACCGATCCTATTCGTGGCAGTCACGCGCAGCCTGGGAATGGTGTGATTTCTTGCATTTTTGGGATTTGGGAAGACGGCGCAGAAAGGGACCAAATGAAGCATTACCTATATGTAGTGGCCGGTCGAAGGCTTGTTATTCTAGCTTCACACGACCTTCCCTCCCAAACCTTCTCGCCGATTTCATCCAAGGGCTGAAAAGCGTATTTCCCCATCCTAGTCTCCTTCATGACAGATCAGTAACTACTGACCTTCATGATGTAAACTGTATAATTGATGATGCTGGCCCCATTGTCATTTGGCGGTCGCCAAGCGAGAACAAAATGGTCAATGCCCCGAGCAACGCACCTAAAAGTTCAGCTAATCCGGAAAAAGATCGAGCCCAGAGCGCGATCCACTCCTACCTAAACATGAGGGGAGCCTCTGGTCGTCCCGGAGCGGTCTTGAAGCAGACAGGCTGGCTCGGTTCCCCAATGAGTCCACGTTCTTCAAGACATGCCTTCAACTGTACATAGTAGTCCGTGTTTGGACGTAATTGGCACAGTCGCAGCTTATTTCCAGTCTCCGTTTCACATCTGAAACGTCCTTATTATCTTTTTTTTACGGCTGCTTGACTGGTTTCCTACCGATAGGTGCTTACAAATCGGCCATGATTCTCAAACAACACAATTTGATATGTAAACTCAGAAGCATCGATCTGCGGAAAAGGTCCTCCAGGTGCCGCAGCCTGAACCGTGCCAAATTCAAGACTACCCGGATCACAAAGCAGCCAAGCTCACCTCAGAAGTGTCCAGTTGTTGCCAAGCAATATCAGCTTCCGTAGGGCCCACCCGCACCACCTGTGGCGCTAAAATTCGCCCGAGCATCTCACGAACTTTGTCCCATTCCTCGCCATCTATGTCGGTCTCCTAAAATCGAAGGAAATGTTTTACGGTAAAATTGTTATATTTGCTCTCACTACGCCACAGCGAATCTGGTATTACACAGATCCATTTTCGGGATCAAAAGCTTGCTTCCTCCCCCC